CATACTTTCGAGAGTTATTTTTCATTAGCTTATTCATTTATTCACTCATTCATTAGAAGGACTAAATTCAAGTGAAGCCGTAAAGGATAGAATGAGATATGTTAAGTTATGTAAATTTACGTTAAGTTAATTCTAGTATATGAAGTGAAGTCTTGCTACAAGGTTAATTAGCTTTATTAAGTTCAAACTAGACTTAACCAAGTAAAGTTTGGTTAAGATGCAGAAAATTCTCTAGCAACACAAACACATACACGTATATACTACAAATATATGAAAGTACATGCATATGTATATATATATATATATATATATATATATATATATATATTATATATTATATATAATATATATATATATATATATATATATATATATATATATATCATATATATACATACCACACACCACACACACATATATGTGTGTGTGTGTGCATATGCACATAGATAGATATAGATAGATAGATAGAAGAAGAAGATAGAGAGAGAGAGAGAGAGAGAGAGAGAGAGAGAGAGAGAGAGAGAGAGAGAGAGAGAGAGATGAGAGGAGAGAGAGAGAGAGAGGAGAGAAGAGAGAGAGAGAGAGAGAGAGAGGAGAAGAAGGAGAGAGAGGAGAGAGAGAGAGAGAGAAGAGAGAAGAGGAGGAGAGACAAAAAATGAAAAGAGAGAGAGAGAGAGAAAGAGAGAGAGAATGCACACGCTAATAGCTAAGTGTTAGTCCTTCTTAATAAATAGCCTTTGATATCAAATAAATAGGCCTTGACACCATTTGATCAAAAATATATAATCTAAAAAATAATCACAAAGAGGTACTTGATAAACGACGTTACTCCCTTACCCTTATTAACCCAACAAGGACAATTTTTTACCCTCTCACATAAGCATAATTATAATAACACATAAGCACTCAATGCAACTTTGCAACACAAAAATACTCACGGGGAGGCGACAGAAGCTGCACGTTAGGTCCATGGTATTTTCCTCACGTGGTCATCACTCACGTAGATTTTGAGGTCAAGGATGTCGAAGTGACCCGCCGACATCTCGCTTCCGAGGGGCACGTCTGAGGGGGAGGTTGGAGGAGGACGTCGGTTATGGTGTAAAGAACACGATTGTTTGGATTTTGAGGTCTTGGCCATCTTGTTCATTGGCTTGTTAAGTACGTATTGGATAAGGAATGTATGAATTTGCTTGTCTTGACTCTTTAGTACAACTTAACGACTGTAACATTCAGCAACTATTTCTTCACCTTGACATAAAGAGGGAAAAGAGAGAGAGAGAGAGAGAGAGAAGAGGACAGACAGACAGACAGAGGAAGAGAGAGAGATAGAGAGAGAGAGAAGAGAGAGAGAGAGTGAGAAAGAAAGAGAGAGAGAGGGGGGGGTCGAAGAGGCGAACAGAGAGAAGAAGACAACCCCAACCCACACCCCCCCCTACGCACTCACCCTGCACCATCAGCTGATACGCGTAGGTCGAACCGGGAACCAATATGCTCTTGGGGTTCCTGGTGATGATCCCCGTGTCCCTGTCGAGGATGAAGCGGACGTCCCCGGGGGCTGCGAAGAGGTGGTACTGCACGACGGCGCACGGACACCTGGCGGACTCCCCGGGGCCCAGGGGACACGTGAGCCCTAGGTCCTCGTCTATGCTCCAGGCGCGGTAGGCGATCCCTGGGGAGACCTGGGGGATTAGTGCGGGTGGGGGGAAGGGGGAGGGAAGGGGGAGGTATGTGGGGAGAGGAGGGGAGAAGAGAATCTGTGAGGAGTTATTTAGCTGTGAAAGATGTTCTGTAGATAATGTATTCAAGTAGATGTTAAGGATCGTGCCTGCCCATCTATCTACCTATTGATTTATCTTTCTTCCTATCTATCTATCTAACCCATTTATCCATCCTTCCCTCCTTCCATCCCTCCATTTCCATCCATCCATTCATCCATTCATCTACTTATCGATCTGTCTATCTATCCCCCCATCTATCTACCTGTCTCTCCGTCTATATTCCTATCTACCATCCTTTCTTCCCTCCCCCCTTCCTCCTTCCTCCCTCCCTCCCCTCTCTCCTTCCTCTCTCCCTCCCTCCATCCATCCATCTATCCATCTATCCACCCACCCCCACTCATCCATCTATCACCCACCTACCCACCCACCACCCACCCATCTATCTATCAATCTTTCTACACCTATCTAAAGCATCCCTCCTCCCTTCCATCCATCTCCGCCATTTATCTCACCCCCTTCCTCAATTCTCAAAGGTGGCATCCATCCTCTCCCGTGGGAATCGCAAGGAAAACTCAACGCGACCTAACTCCTTAAATAGGCCAAAGCGGGGAAGCTGTTAGGAGCGAGAGAGAGAGGGGCGTCTCAGGGGGTGAGGGGAAGGGGGGAGGGGAGGGGGTGTCTAGGGGGGGAGGGGGGGGATACGTCTTAGGAGGGGGGGGGGGGAGGACGGGGGATACGTCTTAGGGGGGAAGGTCTCAGGAGGGGGAGGGAGGCGACTCAGG